TTTTGTCCTTGCTGAGGCGATCCAACTTGGACTTCACTTGTTTGGCCCCCGAGAACCCAGGCTTCAGCGCCTTTGCTCCAGCTGTGGATGTAGCCTTCATGATGCTGGCCATGTCGGACAAGGAGTAATCCTTCTTCTTGAACTTATTTGCAAACACCAGCAAAAAGGTTAGAAGTCATTAGAAGTATGAAAAGTTGAAGTGAGGAAGCTTATACCTTTTGGGTCCATTAGTCCGAAATCAATGAAATATCAGTTCCTCTAGATGAGGTGTGCAAAGCTTCGAAGCTTCGGAGGCTTCTTATAAATGTCAACAATTACACTCCACTCCGCCTCGATCAGGTGCAATATGCAAACCAATAAACAAGGGTCAGTAATACAGAAGTATGTTAACACCAAGGAAGATTTAAAAAGAGACGCTCACAAGCTTCGTAGTACTGGGTTGGCACGGTAACGGCTAGGACAGCATCTCCCTCAACCATCTGCCACCTACCCGTCACCCAGAACTAGGACTCCTTCCACCCCTTTATAGAGGAGGGGAGCCCAACTACAAAGGGGGCATGGGAGCCCCAAGGGGTGATGTAGTACCACCCCTTCGAGTCGTCCTTCCCTACGACCCTCGCATAGAATAAGGTCTCAAAGACATGAAGGGGCAAGTCCTCGCCTATGAACACTTCCTTCCAGAGGAAGTAGGTCCCCACGACTTGGCTCCACCCATTGGTTTTGGGTAGGAGACAACATAAAGGTCCTCAGCAACGCCCTAAAGAAAGGGTGTAGAGGCAGACGTACTCCTGCTTTGAGCAGGTACTCACTAAAAGCCACACAGTTGGGCCTTGAAAAACAGGCTCTCTCATGGGGTTCAGGGGCTATGAGTTCCACGCACAATATGAATATCTCTGCCTGGACTTGGGGACTGATGTGAAGTACAGAAAATTAAAACTTTTCCTGACTTATTGAAAGTCCACGCCTGGTATAAATAACCACACATGAACTTGGGGGACTATTATTACGGGTCAATATATGAAAGCGACACGTGACACCGTATTTTAGCGATGGGACCAACTTAATTAAATCAAGACATATTTTCCTAGCCTTAGAGGTGAATTTCGAGGCCACAGCTGTTAACAATAAGTCATGGTTCGGTGAGCATACATCGTCCGAGGCTCCTTAGCAGCTACTGAAGACCCACATGTGAAGATCCGCTTATGATGAAGATCTTTTGTGAATGATTGACGTGACTCTTATATAAAGTTTATTTGTGTCTTGTCTTGTCAATGTAAGAGCATTTAATGCTTTGTAAAGTTAGGAGAGTCAACTTGATGGCTAGGATTTGATGTNTTAACAGTGATTCTTACAGCATATTTTCTACTACAAATCGTCCTTTATCGATTGGTTTCTCATACAATCGTATTACATTTTCTTGTCGGTAGCCTGAACGGAAACGTCTCGTGCCTTTAAGCCACTCCCACGCCCTTTCTCTGGAGTCATCTTGACCGTTGATCGGCATTAGCGTGTTGGACCAAGCTTGCGTGTGCACGAGTGAGCTCGACATCTGTTGGCAACATTTTTTGGGATCAACAAAAATGATGATATTAAGTTATTAACATATAAATCTCTGTTTGGGTCACATTTTTATCCTATTAAAATGAAAAGTTATCAATCACATCAACATTTAAATTCAAATTTTCTATCTCTTGTGTAGGCCACAATAACGACTATATTTCTCGTTCTCATTCTACAAAAAGGTGGCTCAAACAGAACTTATAGCAAATATGGAAATCCTCAATCAAAGTGAAAAAAATTGCAAATTCGACGATCAATACTGATTTCACCCTAGAATCACCAATTATTTGTTGTCAATGGTAAAAT